GGCAGAACACTTCATTGGAAACTGTCTTGGAAAAGAAAGAGGAACTAAAACTTCATGTTACCATAAAAAAAAAAAAAAAAAAAAAGAGAAGGAACACTTTTTGTTCAAATACTCAAGTAAAGTCCAAGTCAAAAACACCAAACTAGGAGCTTCTTCTGCCTGCAGCTCCCTCTCTTCCCCTATATCTGTATTAGCACACAGCTCCTGCTATACTCATAAGATTAACGAGATTTAGCAAGGACTTTTCTGTAACTCTGGCATCTGCCATTAAGTCCTTCAGTGTTTCCTCTGCACAGTACAACTACCTGTTACTGAAAGAGCAAGTTTACACATCAAACAGAATCTCAACACTACAGTCACAGAATTCTGAACACCTGCATTGCTGTGCTCTCCTTCATCTCATTACACAAAACATTAGAGTTTGTCATTTGTCAGAACTGTCAGCACAACGATCCAGGCTCAACTGGAATTACAGTGATTGCAAAACCTGAGACACAGGACACATGCTTCATTACAATAGCAAGAAATGCCTTAACTGGATAGGGGAAAATAAAAAGGCAAAATAAATTAAAAAGCTTTACAATTGCTGCTCAGACGAAATATCTTAACTGTTGTCTTAGATAAAAAAATGGACAAATCCAAGACAAAAGATATTTCCTAGAAACCCCTGCAGAGCAATCTGTAACCACACTGGGGATAAAGTTTAAGGTATCCTTTAGCCACTTCAAATGCTATGAACAAGGACCAAAAGGAAATGGAACATCACAACATTCAGCAAGTAGCAGGACTTGCTCAGGCAGGAAAAATGGTGTATTTTAAAGAATGGTACTGCACAAAGCATGCAGAAACACAGTACAGCAACAGTGTATAAACTCTAAATGTAACGTAATTTTACTGTAATCATTCCTTACATACACGGTAATAAGTCTCTGCTTAAACATTCAAATATTAGAGTAATGAGCACAACTGAATTAATTAATGCAATTAATGCTATTAAAAGGAATACCACTGTAATTTGAAGAAGCACTGCAACTTCTAAACAACTGTCTTTAGCCATTTATCTTCTGATATCCTATCAGTTTATGCAAATGTCATGTTTGTTCAACTTCTTTCTTCATGCTTCTGAGTAGCAGCAGCATGCACTCCTTCTTTATGGCTCTATGACTACTGACATAAACAGAAACCTTCAGAACTTGTGTTCAGTATGTGGAGTTCAAAAATTCCACTCTCTCACCTTCAGGGGGTCACCAAAGCACACCAACAAATTCCTTGCTCCCATTAACTGCAATTACAACCAAAGCCTTGAGTCTGGTCTACTTCATTGCAAATTAGTTTGATTATGACGACAGAATTCCTCTTCAAACATCAGGTATTTTTCTAATGAACATTTTCTGGAGCTTGCAGAGTAATTCAGCACTTGCAGCAGAACCAGACGCAACCATTTTCCACTCTGCAAGCACTTTCAAAAATATTTTAAAAATCGTAATACTTACTGAAAGTCATAAAATATAATACAACCATAGATTTTTTTTAAGGCTGGTGTTTTTAAACTTTGCTGCTCAGATAAGAACTTTCAAAACAGTATGGGGAAAAAAAGTAATTTTTCAAATTAAACTCCTTTTGTATTTTCAGAAATTCAGATTCTATCCTGATACTTCTCTATACGCTTTTAAGAGCTTCGTATGAGTGCTCCAAGTTATTTACATTAGAACCATTACTCTTTTGCACTGCCTGTAATATTCAACATGAAATGATATCAGCTATTTGGTACCACACACACTATATCAGCATGATTCTTTAAGCCCTTTTTAGGCTTCCATTACCTTTTTTCCTTTTGCAACTTTTCCAGCTTTTATTTTACAGAACAATAAGGTGAACTACTTCTATTTACCTAAACCCAATTCAGCTTGCTTACTTCTTGCCCCCTCAAAGTCTTCTCTGCTCTCTCAAGTTCTCAACAGCTCCCAAATTAGCATCACTGTGATTTACTCACAAACACTTACAACCTTTCCTTCCAGGTCATTCCCGTGGATACTAAAATTAGCAATGCTTAAAAGACTGCCATCTCAAATAGCAAGGAGGATCTAGTTAAAAATCAAGTTGCACTAGATATGTCCTACAGCTAATAGCTGAAATCGTAGCAAATGAGGTAGAACATTCCATTTAGGTTCTTTTTCCACTTTTTAACAGAATCTGATTCAGACTGAGTATTGAAGACCTGAGAAGTAACATGAAGAAAGTATTTATAAAAGCCTTAGAGATTCCTAGGATCTTGCTAGGCTCCTATTGAACACTGGTATCAAGGAATAGGATACCAATAGTTATCAGCATTCATAAGAAACACTGGAACTAATATAAATCAGATGTTGAGGCCACATGCTAAAAGGCTAATGAATACAGCCATACTTTACTTAAGCATACATGGAGGCTTGAAACAGTTTAGTTATGCCTAATGCATGAACTAATTTACTAACAGAGTGAGAAGGAAATACAGAAGAGAGTAATATTCCAAAGACAAGGTTACTTAAAATAATGAAGGCTCATTATAACTTGCTGGCTTACAATTTTGAAGTTCTGACTCTCAACATTTGTCTTCATTTTAAAGGCTTGTTCTTGCCTCAATAAGGCCTCCTCAATAAGGCTACTGGATGAAGCACCAGAGTATTAAACTTTGATTCTAACTTAATTTTTGGGTTTTTTTGCTAGCTGAAGTCTCTGAAACATGTATATAAAGATTTTTTAGAAAGGGTTATACAATTTGAACAGAGAGATGCTTTATGCCTGGGAGAACAAAATATGACATCTAACATTTTCATGCTAGTTATAATACGCAATAATGTTGTGGATATAACCAATTTAAATTACTCTGCAAATAACTTGGTTTGAAAAAAAAAGAAAGAAACAACAAAAACCCACACCACTTTTAATACAAAAAAAAAACCCCACCCCAAAAATAACAACCTGAAGTTTTCCAAAATGGTGTTGATATCTGTGGTGCTACAGCTTTAGATTTGTTTAATGAGCACATTAAAGAACTGATGCTCTCAATGGCAATCTGGTAATTATGGGGGGAAAAAATGAATCAAGAGCTGAAACGTGGAAAAATCTGATAAACAGAAAATATAACTGAGTTTATTCCTAATCATTGGCTTAGGCAGGCAGGATATCACCCTAGCAGCAAGTGTTCACAAGTTCTCGGGACTCAGGAGAATTAAAGCCATACAGGCACAGATGGGGAGAACTCTCACAACTGTTAGTTCAAGATGAAGTGATTTAACACTGGCAACCAAATATTACTTAAATTTTCAAAGCATTAACAACTGCCATCTTTAACCTCAAACTGAGGAATAAAGGAAAAAAAATCAATACTGATTCTTGGTATCAATGCATAAAAAAAACCCAACAAACTGCAAACATTTGTGAAGACCACCTCTTTTTTTTTTTTCTTTTCCCCTTGCTCAGACTCAATGGCTGCAACAGAATTCTGGGCTTCTGTGCCTTTTTGTTTTATTTTTAAATCAACACATTAAAAATTCAAGGAAAAATCTGGAGTAGGAAGTACACAAATTTCAGTATTGCACATAAAATTATAAAAAAAAAATCATGACTCCTATTTTTCACAATTTAAGAACATAAATAAGGAAGGAAAACAGATTAAAGAACAATCAATTACAAAAGACAGCTGTGATATAGGTCATTTGATTTACTGTCATTGGCAAGTTTTTTTTCCCTATTTCTTTGACAGTTTGTATAAAAAGAAGCTGCTGCAAAGAAAACCTCAGCTTCCCACTATTAATCAAAGCTAACAATTTTGTGCATTTCACCACTAGCAAGTAAAATGGAGCAGTAGAGAAGGATCAGTAGACAAAAGCAGCGTGTGCAGACACTGCTCAAGCAGGCTTATTTTGGGTTAGATTTCATTTAGCCTCCAGAAGCAAACATTACCATTACACAGGCCACTCAAAGTTTTCCAAGAATTTAATAACTGATTCAGGCCTGTATGTTCCCAGCAGAGACAGAAGAGCACCTCACACCTGCAGCAGAACTTAAAAGTTGGTTTTCTCAGAAGGGAATGTAATTCAATCACAGTGTACCAGTAGGTACTAAGAGGAATTAGTTGAGAGATCTGTTCAAAACCATATTAATGACACAAATTAAAATAGCAATACATATACTTCAATTATATTCTTCCTTTCCAAAAAACAGGCATCATCTCACAAAACAGAACAGGCACTGATTCAACAAGAACTGAAGCTTTTGCTCTTAACTGCTCACCATGTTAAAAGCAAAACTAAACAGAAAACAGTATGTGCCAACCTATTGGCACGTATCTTTCAGATTTTGTGTCTCAGTAATTTATTTCCTCTTATTACCTGTGCTACTAAATGCAGCAAGTGAAAACTGAAGTTCTTGGCATCTACGAACTTTCAGATAAACCTTGCAGTATTTTTCTCACTTTGCAATTCACACAGCTGAGACTAAAACACGTCCGTAAGCACTACTACCAAAATTCAAACTAAACAAACTAAAACGAAATTTAAAAGAGCTGAAGATGAACATGTGCTTGCTTCTGTCATTCAAACTCATCTCAACATCGAGCAGTAATGACTGTGGGAATTTAGAAAGAAAACGGATTAATGATATAGCAATATTTGTTTATGCCAATATTGAAATGCCTGACCTCAATCATCCCAGAGAGCAGCCACAGGAACACTGTGGCAGATATGCCAATGGAAACGAATCAAGAAACTTACATTATAAAAGAACTGCATTACAAATATATTTGTACATGAGCAAAGGGAAAATCCAGGAATACACTGCATAACATTTACCTTTCTTTTTCTGAGCTATGTCATTTGCTTATCTAATAATTTAATCTTCCAGATTTTAAGTTAAATGCCAGATTGCATCTTAGCACTGTAAGTTATAAATAGGATTTGGTTTCACATGATTAACTCATCCTGTTGCTTAGAATTATTAAAACATCCACAGAGACTCACCTAATTTCACCAACATTCAATATATATCATCCAAATAACTTTCCAGAGGTTTTTGCAAATGAAGGAATGGGCTTCACACTGCATTTGCTGAAATTGAGATGAAAAGAAAACAATGCTCAAGCAATGCCTAAAAAAATTATCTTTTAAGGAAAAAAAGCCTAAATACATACAAACCTTCTCTTAAGTTGAAATTTTAAGAGCTCAGGTATTATGCGTATTTTAGAAGATTTATTCTGTGTGGGCCTGGGCTTCAAAGCAAAAAATAACACAGTAATAAGGTAATAATCATTTTCATCAACTATAATAAAAATTCAGTTGAATGACTGTAAGCATCATTAAGCATCTGTGAAATATGAACGCTACATCCTAAATCCATAAAAATTGAAGCAGTAAGAAGTCATCCCATTTATTCCTATATGGAACACAAATTCCTTCTTTCTGTAACTCATCAACACCAGAAACTTTTGGTCTGGTTCAACACAAAGTCCAAAATCTTGGAAAAAAAAGTTCAGCACCAACCTGTAATAAGCAAAAGGTGGGAGGGGAAGCTTTAAGACAGTCCTCCATGCTCCACGGTCTGTCTCCAGCAAAACAAAGTGGAACTACAGCCTCCTGCCTGTCTTGCAAATCTGCATTACTTTGTTTCACAATTGGAATAATTTGACAAAGAGCAGTGCTTTATCCTACACGGCTCCTCTCCCTCCTTACTGCCTGCCCAGGGCATAGCTTTGCTTTGGTCAGCAACTTCACTTCTTTATTTAATTTCAGTCAACTCCTCTGATCCAAAGATAAAACCTGGGATAAACTCCGAACTGGCTCAGAAGCAATCTCTTTCTCTTTAAATCTTTCAGGTACCAGGAAACCATTTGCAGATCATTACCTCTCTAGAACCTACTAAATACATTGAGATTTTTCTTCATTGTGACAGATAGATAGCCCCAAAAACTATGACAAAGAGAAGCTACCTGCCCTACAATGTTACATTTCCCATCTCCTGTGGATGGGCTCCAAATGCACCGCCATTCCTTCTTATGCTATGGAAGTAAGCAAGTAAAAACAAACCTAAATGATAGTGGTTTGATTTCTCTCTTGTGGAAAGGGGTTTTTCCACAAGTGGTGACACAGGCACATTTCCAGAAAAGCAGAGGCTGAACTGCATGCATTTACATATGCACACACATCAAGGAGAATAACAACTTTCAAATCTCTGTTCTCTTCCTATTTCTACAAATCAGCATTAAAAATATTTTCATCTCTACTTAGCCATTTGCCTGTGTGGAAAACATTAAGACAACATTTATGAATATTCTGCTTTTTATTTTATAAAGTAAATATATAAAAATATATTTGTAACTAATATTTATAGAGTAAATACAAAATGTTCTGTTGCTTAAGAACAGTTTTGAACTGAAGATTTTCGGCACTTTAAAAAAAAAAAAAAAGAAAGGCTATGAGAAAGTAACATTTTTATTTGTCCTTTCGTTTTTGTAAATGCAAAGGAAAACAGCCCATGGAGAGAAAAATGGTAAATAAAGCTGAAGTGTGCCCTGGAGAACACAAATTCTTGATAATCTTCACAGTCTGAAAAGGTCATTTTGAAAAAAGCAACATCTATGATTTACACCATGTATAAGAAATCAGGATGCTCAAAAAATCTTCTGTTGTAACTTTATAACCTTGTACAGCACACATTATTGCAAATAGTCCATTTTATTATGAAACTTTCTGAACACAAAAGCAACAACAGATAATCTTAATATCATAATAATAAATTAAAATCATAATTAAAAAAAATTTGAACCAAAAAAGCTCAATAATTATGGAAATATCCTACTGAAGGTGCGTTGCACAAGTAGAATGAACACAATATTGGGGGTGTGCTAAGGAAAAGCACTGAGAGCACAGAAGAAAGTCTCCTTACTCAGTGCTGGTACCTGACATTACAAAGGAGCAGAGCAGCTGAGGTCTGTTTACCTATCACAAACCAGCTAGAGTACGCTCACTTGCTCCATCTGGTTATAAATAAAAGGACCTTCCTCATCTGATTTGGACAGATGAAACAGCTGTAGGCAAATCAATGAGCTGGTAGAAAAGGTTTTTTCAGAAATCTATCATGCTGCCTATGTAGGATGGCACAAAGCAAGTAGCCCAATGCTGCAACATAACTCTTCTAGCTTTCTCCTGAAATTCTACTTGTCTCCCAAGCACCTGAGTGCTTGCTCTAACATGCACAGGTCTTACATCTTTCCATTTCTAAGATTAACACTGCAACTCAAATCACGAAAACAGTACTGCCCTCTCCTTCCATCTCATTCTCAGAGGCAAGCTGATCTTTGGTAAGGCTTGAACTGAAGCAACTTTTGGCCAAGTTTGAACAATAAAAAGAACTTCTGCTCACTGAATCCTGTTAAATTAAAAAAAAAAAAAAAAAAAAAAAAAAAAAAGTCTTCAAACAGAAAGCCTAAAGCATCATTAACTATAAGGACACCAACCATTTCCAATGCATGATAAAATATCAGGAATACAGAAAGGTTTTCTGTCAGTGAGACAAAACGACCTAGTTTGAGAAAGATTGGCACAAAGTCTGCTATATCTAAGTATATCCACATTGCTTGGAGGGCTTTTTTTTGTTTATTTTACTGACAGAGTCACCTTAAAAGTTTAACAGTAATATAAGCTGCTCACAAAAGGCTCCTCAAGCTATCTTCCCAGTCTCGTGTACTCCTCTTTGCGTGACCATGCATATACAATCAGTAAACAGACTGCATGACAAGACACGAATGAATCCTGCAAAGATGGAAATCTGCTCCTCCTGGCCCGTCTTCAGCTGGATAGCAGAGTATCAAATCAAAGCAGTGGGGAGATGCAACCCTTTCAGAAAGATGATGACAAGTGAACAGAGGGACTGCTAATTGGAACCTATTAAGATGCATTTGTTTGCTTTGTATGTAGTTGTACATTAATGGAGTATCATTACCACTTTAACAAGAGCATCTGTGAAAGAAGACCCCAACAAGCTGTGAGCATAGCAATACATACGCTCATTTGCTGCAACGCATCCCTGGGAGAGACACTAATTCAGGCTCCTAAAACAGCAGGGCCACATTAGCATATGTCATTGCTAAGGACAGTGCTATCATGGGTTGCTTCTTTTCCTTCTGGTTTCTCAGGCACAACTGTTTTATTCTATGCTCCTGTCTACAGGATGGAAGCTTATTAAAAGCTTATTTGAAGTCTATTCCAGCACCCACACAACATTAATTTCAATCTCAAATTGAAGGGGAATGTCTACCTTGCCGAGGTTGAAAAAAGAGACACTTCTGTTGAAACCAGTACTGTTTTAGCAGCAATAAAATCTACATACTTACTTAAATTACCTAGAAATCCATTATGCCTTGAAGAGTGGGTGGATAGCTTTAGTAGTCCAAGTATGATGTCATCTGAGCAAAAGTCTTTTTTGGCACAGTGTTCTGAAAAAAACAAAACAAAACAAAAAAAAAAAAAAACAACAGCTCTATGAAAATGAATCTAGTTGAAACAACTTGTGGATGAGCCCTTGATTGCTGCCCTATTTCCTCTGCTACTATTACGGTCACTTTAGCTCTAGCCCTAAAGTGTTCACAACTTCACACTCCAGCTCTTTACTCCACACAACTGGAATACACGTGAGGATGGAGAACTTCAGATGTACATTCCTCCCTTTACTTAGCTCAGAAGTCTGAACTTCCTCCACTCTGAAATCCCAACCTGCAGCCTAACACAAAGGCCTAAGGGTAGCACCACAGTTACAGTTCTAACAGTGCCTACTAAATGTTACAATTGCTTTGCAGCAAGTTACGCCCTTCTTCCATAGCATCAGTAACACACCAGCCACATTTCTAGGAAAGAAGTACACGGATACAATCTTAACTTTGCATTATGGTTCAGACAGCAGGTGTTATCCACGTCAGAACTCCTAAGGAACACAGCATATGACAGCACAAGAAAGAACAAAAGCCATCTTCCCCTCACTAAGGAGGAACATAAACTTCAGTGAGTTCTGCTGAGTAGAAACTAGCCATACCCCAAATATTTACGGAAGCAAACACTATTCCCTTCACAAAAACAACTCTGTTTCCTACAAGTATCAGTGCAGTACTCCTACAAATAGGAAAGAGTTTTGTATATATGGAACTGCTGACAATTCTGCATGGAAAACCACTGCTAGTTATCACTGCTGATACCTTGCAGTGAACACTTACATGAGGCAAACTATATCTGTTAAGGCATCCATACATCTACTTCCAACATACGCAAGGAAAACAAATTTCTTTTGACCTAAAAAAAGAAATTCAAAATCCCTATTCCTCCCCATCTTGTCCCCACATACATACAACACAGCTGGAAGATGTCACAATAGAGACAAAGAATGCCAGGGACTGAACAAGGCTATTTCAAAAATATATTTCATTAGAAAAGTCTAATGTGAGAAGAAGAAAGGCAGATTATCATCCATTTATCTACTTTTCAGGAGAACAATCTAATATTAGAAATCAATCTACTGAATCAAATCCCAGTATAACATATAGACAAGAAAGGACCAACTATGTTTTTTTTATAGGGCTGGAGAAGTGTCTAGGTGACATTTTAAAAACATTCCATACAAATGTATGAGATTACTTCACATTCCTGTATCAGCAAAGCAAGCAAGGTTCAAACAACTCAATGTAAACCAACCACGCATTTAACTTTCCATTTAAAGGTAGTACCAGTTTAACTAAGATCATTTGAAAAAGCAATTTCAGATAACGTAGCAAAAAACATTTCGGATCCTTTTTGACTTATATTAAGCAGCATTGCCCAAATCACCTCTGATGCCAGCTGCTTCTACAACCCCACCTCAGTGGTGCTGAAACTCATGCAGAAGTCCACCAGCTCACACAAAACCTGCATGGAATGGGAGACAGCGTCAGGAGAACACACATGCCTGAGTTTTCAGGCCCACTGCTGTTGTTCCACCACTCCCTTTAAAAGCAACTGAAATCGACAGCTAAATGTCAGGGTGGGGCAGGGGGTAAGGGAAAGTCTTAGCACTAGGATGTGTGTCCCAGCTTTCCTGCCAAACCGATCAAACCAGCACATTCCCCAACCCTTTTCCTGTCTCCTTCCTTTTTTTTTCTTTTTATAAAAGCCATAATTTAGAAGTTTCTTCTATGTTTTTCCTGTCTCCGTTTCCTACCACATCCCCATTCCTGTTCATCTTGATTCTGCCTACTCTTCTGATGTTACATTTTCCAAATCCTGCTCAGTAACATATTTTCCCTCTATTCCTTCAGATCTTTATACTATTTGGATTTGCTTTATGCTGTCTTCTGCCTCTATATTCTCACCCTTTTCTGTGCTGGTACCTTACGCTGTTCTTAGAAATTACAACTTGTTTAAGTTACGTGCTATGACTTCCAGCCATTTGAATCCTTGTCCCCTTTTCTGAAACCATTCTCCTCATTTTCTTTATCACTGACATTTAGATCACAAGCTCTTCAAGGCCGGAACTGTGTCTTTATCCAGGAAACATCATGCAAACCTTTAGCGCAGCACAAAATGTTTAACGCTGCTAGGCTGGCAAAAAAAATACACAATCTGGAAAAAAAAAACACCTCAAAACAACAAAAATATTTTCACCTGAAAATCTGCATTTGCTACAGCTAGATAAGGAAACGTATTTTAAGCAAGGTTACTGAGATGATAACAAGCTACCATTGAAAGCAGCACACAAGTTCCACACTCTACTTTCATCCTCAGCCACACACTCGCCAACAGCAGCTTGATTACATATAATGAATGTTGCTGCTGCTGCGAATGGCAAGAAAAGCTTTATTAAATCATATTACCTCATTAAAATTGACAGTGAGGAAAGTGTGTGAATAGGGGGAAAACACGCATTCCTACTGACAGCTCTTGGAAGCCCTGATTCATGCTGCTACTTGCTTTTCTACCCACAGAGAAAAAGCTGGTTTCCCTCAGAATACTTGTTACTATGAAAACTACTTTAAAATAAGCACAAGTCAAAGCCACATAACTATTTTACATCTATTATGCTACTTTGTAACTGACATATTGTAATAATTGAAGTTTCTGCATCTTACAAGATTTATAAACACTACATCTGTCACAGAGGCTTGAAAAGAGTATCTGGCATTACTGAGCAGAAAATTGTCCAGGAATTCAAAGTAAGCAAACTAATTCTGATCAGAACAGTAATTCCTCAGTTAATGATCAAAATACTCATTAACAGACAGTAAAGCTGTTCCCATAGTTTTACCTTCCATCAGCACTCCCCTGCCCTGCAGTAACAAGCCAGCCTACACCCAATGACCTCCTGCACATGCTAAAAAGCAAATCAGCGCCAAACTTGCAGCGTGGTCTCTCTCTCAAGAAAGGGCACTGACAGGTTTCTCTCCACCCAGTTTGTTTCTCTTCCCCAAAACTGTAGGAATGCGACAGTCTGAGATCTCTGTCCTTCCTGCAATCACGGTTGCAACTGGTCTGTGACTTCAAAAGCTATTGGCAAGTATCTAAGGAAAGAACGGGATAAACAGCATCAATCACTTTCCGTAGGAAACTGGGCTTAAAAGAAAAACAAAAAGCCACCTCCCTTGTTGCTTGTTTCCTGAGCCAAGCAGATTTTGGTGAAATGTTTCCTGATTTCTCACATCTTCAGACCTACGTCTCAAATATAAAACACACCCCTCGTGGAGTAGGGGCTGGAAAAGTCCCTCCACACATCACCATTTTTCCCCCTAACACAGCCTGCAGCTTTTGGATGATCAAGGATAACCAAGCCAGCTGAAGCCTCTGGTATTTCTCTGACAAGTTCCATTGGAAGAACTCCCCATCTCCCACCTGCTCACATCAGCATGAGCTTACCCTCTCAGAATTCACAACCACCTTGCTGCGAGCAGCCACCAAGCTGCTGGAACATTATTCTTCCAGGACAGCTTTGTCAAAATGCACATGAGTAACATCCACTACTCAAAAGACCAATACCAGTCTCTGACACTGCATTAAACATGCAGTGAAACAGCCACCAGAATCATCACATACTCCTAAATGCCAGCAACTAATATTTACTACACCAATAAAAGCTTTTATCATCCTGGATGTACTTCACAAAGTGTAAAAATGGTAACTTATGTTTTATTTACCACAGCAGCAGCAGTGGAATTCTTAGAATTGGAAACACGAAGTTAGCTCTATTAATGCAATTTATTTTAAAGTGTTTTTTCTTCCTTATTATGCATCTTACTATCTCATACTCAAATATTCTCCAAACTAATCATTTAATATGCAAAATTGCGTGCTTCTTCTCAGATTTTTGTTAATGCATATTAAGAAATGCACACATTATCATTCCTCTTTCTTCCAAGGGCCACTTGTTACAAGGCTTTTCCTAATATGTTCACAAACACTCTTTCTGATGGTACTCATAAGGCAGTGCTGGAACTTTAGGAATAACTGTCAAGTCAGCAGTTAATGGGATGCTTATGGGATCAGCGACCTGAGATACTCTCACATACTTAGAGAGCTGCATGTTAAAAACTTTTAGATTTTATCTACAATGTTAGCATTACATTGTAAACAATACTGTACCCCACTATTCATAGAATCATAGAATCACAAGGTTGGAAAAGAACCTATAAGATCATCTAGTCCAACCGTCTCCTCATCACCATTGCCACCACTAGCACTAAACCCTATCACGCAGCACGTCATCCAGACACCTCTTGAACACTGCCAGGGTTAAGCATTAAGCATCTGAAAGTTAGATGCTGTGCTGGATGATAAGCCCACTCTCAGGCATTCCTCTTCTAGGTGTCCAATAGCTCCACAACTACCACAAGATGTTAGTAATTCAGTTCTAACATCCAACCTGAACGCTCCCCCTGGCACAACTTAAAGCTGTTACCTCTCATCCTGTCACCGTTACCTGACAGAAGAGGCTGACCCCCATCTCACTACAACCTCCATTTAAGTAGTTGTAGAAAAAATAAGTACCAAAGCCAAGGAAAGCTGCATTGCTCAGCAATACTTCTAAAAAAGTTAGAAGGTACACAGACATTAAAAGTAACTAGTAAATACAAAACTAAGCCTTCAACATCACCTGTTTCTGAAGGACTGGAACACTGGTAAGGTTAGTATTCGCAATCCTGATGTATATAGCTAAGCTTTTCCCATCAAGACACACCAGAGAGAGGGAAAATAAGTGTTCCGATTTTTGTCCAGCAGCACAGTTACAACACAGTAAGCCAGAACAGAGAAATCACAGCTACTCTCCAGAGGGGTCCAGACCACAGTCTCTCTGCAGGTTCCATGCTCTGCTGGAAGCTGGATCAACTCCTGACCTCTCTTTCCAGCATCAGACCTCAGAGCGAGTAAGAAAAACTGAGAAGTAAAAGGCTTGCAGGACAGCATGCAGACTCTCTGGGACCCAACATGACAGAGAAGAGTTCTGGCTTCCATTCCCTAATGACATTTAAAGTTTTATACGGAAGAAAAAACTGAAGAGCTCTTGGAAGAGGCCAGAACACAGTTGCCTATCTCCTTCATCTCCAGCTCCAAGAAAACAAGCACTGTAGTGTTTTTCTTTTGCCCAGTTCAATCACCTTCTAAGCAGTGAAAAGTGGATTTTTTGTGCTTGGGTTTTTCGTTGTTGCTGGGAGCACCTGAGTTTTGTGGGTTTTTTTTTTTGGAAAGAGACATAAAAAAAAAACCAAAAACAAAACAACCCCTCTACCTTGTCCCTCCTTTGTGCTTCTGAACCAAAGGGAGAGTCACCAGGTTGGCCCGAGTCCAATCCCATAGGTGTGACTCAGGTGCGGTTTGAACATGCCTTCGGACAAGTGAATGCCTAATTTACAGATTGCCTAATTTATGAATACTAAACAGGCAGAGGTGCCAAGATGCTCCGTTTTGACAAGAGCATGGAGGATCTGAGTGAGAACAAAGCTTCAAGGTGCCTGGAGAACTTTTACAGAGACCTGCAAAAACACAGCCAACATATGGCTGAAAGTTCATGCTGGACTAGATATTCAGAACCCATCTAAATCACAGTTTTCACTCCTCTCTATTCCTTTTGGGTCTGGCCAGATACCAAAATAACATGCATCAAAACCTCCTCAGAAACACCTGCAAATATCTTTTTACATCTACAGAACCTCACAGTGTTTACATTCCAGTATTTATTTTTAAATTCACTTAAGACGGATCTTTCTCCAAGAACCATTTCATTCTGCTTTAACATAAGGATATAACTCCAACACCATTTGTCCTGTGGTAGCAGGCTGTCACAACGAGTCAAATGGTTTTAGCTCTAGAACTGAAGCTTTCTCACTGACTTAGAGATTATTAAACACTACTACAAGGACAAAGCATTTGTCACCACTCTTAAGCTTCACTTGGATACATCTTTATTGGGAAGATGGGGAATGCCCACAGTATCTCCTAAGCTTCATAAGATTTTACCAAAATAGCAGTTCTGAATCTTACACCGCATATCCACTTCTAATGGATCTATATTGGATAAAATATTAATATTACTACACCTGATTTTATGATAGAGTCAGCATTGTTCCTCAGAACATCACTGCAGAGTAAGAAAACTAATTCAGTGATTTCAACGACAAAATGTAACAGCTGGAAAGAGTCCAAAGTAGGCAAACAGTAAGGTGACAAAAGACTCCACGGACAAACTCGTTCTACTGAGTATTAAATACCTGGGAACTGAAAAGCGCAGAAACTTTAAATATACGATTACATATTCTGAAAGCAGCTATATTTAAGAATTTATATTATACATTAACACTACGGTAAGAGAACATTAAGGCCATAAAATTAAACACTCAGGCATGAGGTATGCCAAAATTAAAGTGGCCTTTGCATTACAAAGGCATTTTGTGGCAGCTCTAGAGGCTGAGAATTCAATCCTTCAGGGCAGCAGGCAGCTGCATTAACCATGAGTGTTCTTCCTCTCTTCCTTGTGCTTCAATCTTTAACTCCTGCAACAAACGAACTGGGAAACACCTAACAGTTTTAAACTACCACTGAAGCCCATTATCTGAACTAATAAAGCACCCAGCTGTAATTTTGAGCTGCTTTCCCCAGGTGACCCACACAGAAGGGAATGAGAGATCCTGATGGGAATGGCTGTGTTCCCCTGTGCCACCATTACACAGAGGCACTGGAATCTTTCACTTCAGGCTCTGCCACATGACCAAAGATGCACATCTTACACCTCCTTCTATTCTGAAGTACTACTGAATTCAGAATAACAATGCTGCTAGCAATTTCTCAGCATAACAGAAAATAGGAGGCAGCCAAATATTTGTACCTGTATTCAACAACTGCTAAGTGAGGCTGAAGCTCTGTGCGCTCTGGACACAGTGCCCCCTCTGTGAAGGAAGGGCACAGAGCTAAAAAGGGGCTGTTTCCATACGATGAAATTACCCACCGATGCAGATTCGCAACTATTTTCAACACAAGTCTATTGCATGTAGTAAAAATCAACAACCCTACCCCAATACAACCACTTTGTATAAATATCACAGAGGGTGATATTTCTATTGCTAATTCATTAATATTCCAACCAGAGTTTGACTAGGGGCAAAAAGCAGCAATAGCACAAAGCTTCTGAAAGCAGCGATTTCCTCAACCAGGCGAATCTGTGAAGATTTATGACTTCAGTGAAATTCTGTGCTAACAAGATAATTAACCAACACTACAAATTAAAGTAATTACCGCTCCATTTTTATATTGTTGAGCATTAAAAAACAGTAAAATTAGTTACAGGAGGGACTTGAGCTCTTTCAAGCATTTAAAAAAAATACTCATTGCTTTACTCATATCCTTTCTGTTACCTATGTAAGTTAAACTCTTTGAGGTAAGAACATGATGCAGAAGAATTAAAAAACAAGGCATGCCTGAATAACATCTTAAAGTATCAAGCGTCAAACCTGAGAGGCTTTCAGGTTTGTTTTTTAACCATGTGGGCTGTTTCTTAAAGAGATAACTCTTCACAAAACTCTCACCCCTTCACAGCACTACCACTTGCATTCAACCAAAAACCCCAACCCAAACATTCAGTATTTTATCTATCTGAAAGCAATGTCTTTAGCGCTTTCAACAAAGGACCACGAATGGATACATACATAAAAATCAGCAGCAAGACTGGCAAAGCACACAGTCTGTCGAGTAGAATTTCCCTACTAAAACAATCAAATGCTGCCCGATTTCAAACCTGCAGATATCCATAGATAAAACCAGTTTTACTCCTGTGTGATATGATGGAAGTGCGACCCAGCTGCTCAAACAGCCCTGCCAGGACTGCCCCAGTCATGGTGTATTTCTCAAGCACTTCCCTCACTAGCACATTTGCCCTAACAATCCTCTTGCCTTCTGACACACCTGTCACCCAGAGCAATGAGCGAGGTTAAATATAACCACATCAGAAAAAAAAAAAAAATAGTGGTTAATTTTAACCTGGATCGCTCCCACCCTTCTGCGGGATGCAGCTCCGTGCAGTGTGGTGCTGGTGGGGCTGAGGGCAGTGGGACAGGAGGACCAGCAGTTCCAGTCTGCAGTGCTGCTTGTCAAATAGTGCCATGAGAGCACACCTGCTGTCAGCATTTAGCAGATCGTATAGGTCACTAGGGTTCTTCCCACCTCTGTGCATCCCAACACAACTGCACCTCGCTTTCCTTCTGCCTCTCCGCAGGTCAACGTCCAGCGCCTACAGGAAAGCCCAGCCCTTACGAAGATGTCAGTGTAAATACCCCCGGGGAGTTTACAAGCCTTGCTCCTGACGCAAATACATTTCGAGTTTATGTCCCGGGCCCAAGGTACAAGCCACCTGAAACCGAAACCAACCGGAACCCCACGGCCACCTTAAGCGGACACGCGTGGAAAGCAGGGCGGCCCGGCCCGGCGCCGGGTTACGCACCTACCCGCGGCGCTCTCACTGCGCCCGGAGCCAGGGCAGCACGGAACGGCACTCAGCCTCAGCGCGCGCGGTAGCACTCGGGAGCGCACTTGCGGCCATCGCCACCGAGTTTCTAACGGGGAACGTCCGAAAGCACCGAAGGCTCGAGAGCCGCTTTCCCGCGAAGAACGCGGCCACCCCACCTGCCGCGGGGCCGCCGCCCGCCGCCCCGCAGCGCCCCGGGCCCGGACGAGGCCTGCAATAGCCCGCCGCGCTGCCGGGAGCGGCCGGGCCGGGCGGCGGGCCAGGCGGGCAGCGCTCCAAACGTGCCCGGGAGTTGTGACAGGAGCAAAGTGGGTCACCGGGCCTAGCGGGTGCCCCGCGAGCGCCCCCAGGCCCTGCCGCTGCCCGCGCCCCGCTCAAGGGCGGCCGCCACCCTCTCCGCGCCCCGCCGCCGCCCCGGCGTCGGGGGACCCGGCGGCGCCGTCAAAGTTCGGCGGCCACCCCGCGCAGTCCCCCGGCTCGCCCCCTCCTCGGGATCCGAGCACGTCGGAGCCGCCCGCATCGCATGGCGCCTCACTTCGCACCCCGTTCCCAGCGCGGCTGCCGCCGCCCGCCCGCCCGACCTCTCCTGACGAGCGCCGCTCTCCGCGCGCAGCCCCGCGCCCGCCGCCGGCACGCAGCCTTCCCCGGCGGCAGCAGCGCCGGCAGCCGGGCCCGCCGATCCCCGCCACCGCGCCTGCGCCGCCGAGCCCACCGCCGGCAGCCGCGGCGCCTCGCGCCACCGCGCGTGCGTCACAGCGCACTGCAAGCCGCGGCACGGCGGCCCTTCGCTCCGGAGCGCCACGTCTGCGCGTGCGCGGAGAAGCGGCGGGCGAACGGGCAAACGCCCGAGCTGGCGGATCGCCCTTCCGCGCGTGCGCAAGATCGAGGAGCCGGGCGAGGGGTGCGGTGGGGGAGCCGCGCAGGCGCGCTGGCTGCCGCGCCTTCATGACCTGGATTCACCTCGCCTCGCCTCACCCCGCTTCGCCCGAGGAGGAAATGGCGGCGGGCGCTGTCTCAGCGGGGAGCGGGGATCCCGGCCCCGCAGCGCCACCTCTGCGGCTCGGAGCGCCAGGCCGGCCGCAGCCCGTGGCGCGGGTGATGGAGCTGGGGCGCGGCGTCCTGCCTGCGGAAAGGGCGCGCTGAGGACTGCTGCCGCGCGTCGGGGGAATGCTGCGCCGTCCCGCTCCGCGGTTTCTGCCGTCGGTGTGGGTAAGCGGGCGGAGCTCACGGGTCGGCCTTCAGCGTCTCCACGTTCGCGGTTAGCGCCGGTTTGCGAGGCAGTCTCAGCTGTCAGACGTCGGAATCGGCCCTGGCAGCATTGGAAATCCCGACACCTATAGAAATCCTCCGTGTTGTGCGTTCAGAAAATGTTGTATCAGCGCAGGAACATGCGGCTGTGATTGGAGGCAGCAAGACTGTCTGATAATAAAAGTCAGCTTAAAAGTCAGTGTGTGCCTGTGTGTGCTTTTTAAAGCTTATATGAACTGCAGGATGCAATCGTGTGGTGGACTTTGCAGAACGTGCTGTGGAATACTGTTCTACTAGTAGCCACAAACGCGGCCACCGTTAATCAGGTGCCTGCAGTGAGGGAAGGGAATTGATTTGGCTCCCAAATCTCAGAGGTATTCATTTCTGGATTACTTTTCGGGTAAATTCGTTTTCCTGTTTGAGCTGCCTTGTGACTGTACACAGGCAGTGTGGGGACAGGAAGCCTTTTAGAGGTAACACTGCCAAAAAGCTATCCATGAGCTTGTTGGGTTTTTCTGTTTGTGAAATTGTAAACAGCATGAGTAAGAACACTTGGAATATTTACAGATTCAAAATACTCCATTTCTAGCTTTTGGTTGTAGAAAATCGATATGAATAAAGTGATCATATTGTTACTTAGGTAAAGGGTAACGCTTCTGTGAGGAAATGCAGTAAAGGCAATAGGACACAGCAGGAATGGAAACTCCAGGAGAAGACACAGAACCATTTTCAACAAAAAGGTGTTATTGCCAGAACTAGGACACAGCCAAGAAACCCACAGACTAAAGTTAGCATCTAGCTGCACGTATGGAATTTGACACAAGTAGTGCCAGTAGTAATCCTTCAAGAAGGATGCTAGAGATACACGCAGTATCTCTTCCCTCAAAATATGCCTTGCAGAGAGCAACATCAGCCTGCTGCAGTATCAAATCTCCCTTTGAAGCTTGCATGTCTTATGGTTGCAGATTTGCCAGGCCATGCAGATCACACACGCTGCACTTTCTGCCTGTCGTAGCCTAACTGAGGCAATGTTTTTTAATGTGTTACCTTAGAAAACATTATAAGGGCTTCTGAAGGAACAGACAGCAGTTCTATGAAGTTATTTCCACCTAGAAATACTGTGTTCCTAATCCTTGTTGTCAATGTGAGTTTGCTGCAATGGTTCAGTTAGGGGCAACAGAGTGTAGATGTCAGATGATGAGGGTGGGTACTGTGTTTGTGCTCCTCTAACACTACAACCCCTTAATGCATAATGGAGGTTTGCTGTGAGGAGGAAGTGGTGGCAGCACCCTTTTCATGGCAGTCACCTAAGGTGAATACCAGCGTTGCCTAGGGAATCATATCAGACATCGCTGATGACCTGTTTGCATTTAAAAACTAGAAAGGAACTAACATAAGTGGCAGAGAAGCTATTAACTCTAAAATGCATCTATCCATTCTATTTGAATCTGCAAACTGTAACTTTCCAATAGTGATACCTGACAGCACATGCCTACTTATATCTACTTTATTCCTCCTGGCTAAAAAGAAAACACTGATGTTTATTTTCTTGTTTTTCTGAGGTACCTTCCTGCCAAGTGTTAAGTGAACCATTTGTTCTGTTTCTGCATACTGATGCAATAAACCATGTCAAATCTGTATAATCTTTAGCACACAGGGTTTGTTTTTGTTTTGTTTTTTAATTGAGTAGTTGGAAAAATTAACTACGAAATCCAATTTGGTTCACTGCTTGCAATAAATAAAAATGCCAAACCAGGAGTGTGGTCACTTTATTCACTGACATAGTTTTGTTTTGCTTATATACACATGGAACATAAACTATTTTGTGAAGTATGTCCTTATTTTTACTGGAAAGGAACAACTGATCCAACTATGTGCATTAGAAGAGCGCAAAGAGAATCCCTGCCGCTAGAGAAAATTCTTGCATACCTGTCAACCAAGCAAAAGTATTGGTCATTACACTCAGGGCTAAACCCTGTTTTTATATCATTGTACGCATCGTTTTCTTCAGATCAGCTTTTCAATGGGGGGAACTAAGAAAGTATTCAGAGCAGAATCCCACTACAGTCATTTCACCGTGAATTAAAGGAGTCAAGCATGCACCTCTGATAGAGAAAAAGAGGAATAAGTATGGATTACATCCTAATTGCTAACAGCCTCCTCCCTCTTCCATTTGAGCAATTTGTTTGAAAAGAAGAATGCAAACTCTCAGTGTCCACAGGAGCAATCTCCGGGCAGGGCTTTCATTTACTACGTTAGTTCAAAACCAAATCAAATGAAAAACAAAAAACAAGTGAAACAAACTCCCTTTTTATTGTTTCAGACTTTCAAAAGCAATAGAAAGCTACTTTTGTGCTAGTTTGAGTCTGAACAGGTTACCCACATGGAAAACTCATCCTCAAGTAATTTGTGGTTTCAGTACATCACTGCTTTTTGTATTGATGTTTTCATGAACAGAAATGTTTTGCATTGATAATGTCATCATATTTATAATGTCCTTTTTGGGGTTTTCTTCCAAGTCACTTTCAATTGCTCCAACTTCTGCTAGCTTCCATTCAAGCTCTGTAACAACAAATGACAATTTATGCTGTTGATTGCAGTACACTTTCACTTAAGGGCTTTTATGAACCAAGCTCTATCTCAGCAGCAAGAAAAAGCTGTTAAACGTTAACTGTGTTAGTGTAAAATATCTATGCTTGCCAAAAATTCTTAGCACTGCAGGATTACATAAATTATTCTTTACTTTTTGTCGACTTTCCTACAAAAATATTTTGATTTTTTTCTTTTAAGCAGCAATCTTTAGATCTAACGATTACAAACAACATAATTCTTCTCTAGTAAGTAAATTATTCAGGAGTATTTCTCTTACCTTCCACTTTAAGATACATCCCGCCACATTCAGCTACCCCGATGAACCTGGCTTTTATTTCCCCAGTTTTGTATACAAGTATTGTGGGTAAGCACCTGTCATGGTAACTGTGGATGCAGCTGTTCACAGAGGCTTTGACAAACTTGGCTTCCGAAAACTTTCTGGCCAACTGGCTGAGATGTTCATTGACTAGTAGGCACATTGGAATGCTAGGAAAAGATATGAGGGCATGATCATATCTGCAGTATAAATGATGTATAAAATAATTAACACTACTATAATTAGACCTTTGACGAATAAAAGTGCACTTTGGCTTACTCTGTTTCTTCTTCGTGTTGTAGTTAGGTTTGCACCACAGATTTTATTTAGCTGCTTCTAAGATGACTTTGATTTGCCCAAATAAAGACCTTCAATGCGTGTAATAGGCACAGTTCCCAGAACGTCAGTAAAGCTACCAGGTGCTTCAAGCAAGCACCTCAATTTTGTTACATGCAAAGATTTGAAAGCCTATCTTGTCCATTTATTGCAGGTTTAGATGAAATTTTAAGTCTATGATACGTGTTTCGCTTGAATCGGTGTTCAATTTCACATTTAACTCTTTTAGTGAAAGCTAAACGACAGGGAAATCCTTGTATAGCCATATGACCACCACGGGATTGCTCATTACTTTCACAGTATTTGCAGTGCAATCGCCATGTAAGACTCCACGACGAGGACAAAAAAGCGCGGTGGTTTTGTTTCCCTCCTGCCCGGTTACCGCTTAGATGTCGGGAACTTGGCTGGAAGGGACCGAAGCGCCAGCGGGTACAGCTTACGGGCGCGCCCTGGTGGCCAAAAGCACGTGCGGTCACAGTCAGGGGATGGGATCTGTTCATTCGCTACGCCTCAGAGATCTCATATTCAATCCTAAGGAACTGAACATGTTTCTCACAGTCTCGTCTGTATAACGAACTAGTAAAGAAGTGATTCTCCAGTAAACAAAAACAACGAAGAGGAAGAAAAGATGCTTTTTTTTTAATTCTTCAGGTTTGTAAATTTAATTTACTGTAATTTGAACAATTTCATTTCATTTCATTTGTTGCCCTATTTGTTGCTCCTGGAAATAATGCTCAATTCTTGGCAACTGAAAGGAATCAAATAAATTTCTTCCCAACGTGCTTAAAAAGAAGGAAAAGAGAAAGCTGAAAGCTGGTCTGAATCTAAAGAAATGTTGAACATTCCATTCTTATTCACAGTGCTTCTGCAAAACACCTGATGGTTGTTAACACATGGTGAACTAATCTTGGCAGCCCTTTGAAATTTCTGCTTCATTTTGTCACAACTTCTGCTACTATTACAGAACATATTGGGCAACTGCTGAACTAAGAAATTCCCTCAGCATTCCTGGATTTTCAGAATTGAGACTTTCCAGTGCTGCTATCTTTGATTTGCTGTAGGAGAAATAGAAAAGTCCTGTGAGAGGCCTCCTGCTGAGCAGAGGGGCTTCAAAGAAAGTTCTCTTAGAACAGAAAGTAAAGAACACTTTCAGTGAAATTTGGAAATCTGAGACTTAGTACCTGTTGATATGCATATACAGCAAAAGGAATCTTTCACACAAATGATCAAAGCAAACTAATCTTAAAAGCGAATTAGAAAAATCAAGGAGGCCCCATGCTCAATGGAATCACTTCCACTGCCTCCAACCAACTGCTATTTTGATAGTCTGCTGTGTTTCATTTTTCTTGGTATTCCTGTGTAATCCCCAGCTGAATTCCCTGTTTTGATGTACTCAGTACCTTAAACTAGAAAATAATTACCTTGGCCGATAAAGATGAATTATGACCCAAACATCCTCAGGAGCATTTGTAACTTCCTTAACATACTGCTCTCCACTGATTTCTCTCAGCTCCCCATACTTTTGCCTCCTCTGAAGACATTTCCATTCTTGCAAGCGCTGCTGCCTAATTAGAAGGCAGTAAGGAAAATAAGTATATTTGAAACATTTAAAATGCATTTTTAATAATATCTAGTACATTTTGCTCAATTCCTTTTAAAAACCCATTTTGAGCAATACTCTGGCTCAAGGTCTTCTAGTATCATTTCAGAGCTAGAAAGGTTTCTAGGCTAATCTTATTGAATAAAGTTAATGAATGTGAACATAAAACTAAGGAAGTTTTTATACCAGCATCAACTTTGGGAAACTTAAAGAAACACACTGCAAAGCACCTTAATCATCTGAGAAAAAGCACAAAAACTGTAGAGGTACAAATCATTTCCATCATTCTGAACATCAGTAATTTCAGCATGAACTACCAGTACACAACGTGTGAATGCGATACCACACTCATACAATATTTCATGAAAATTGGAATGCAAAACCAGTAGATGGCAGCTTTCATCTATAAAAATAATTGCTGAGTAGAAAATGAAAATGCCTCCCTGAGATGTGTTGAACTACAAGAAGCTATTAATTTTACTGACTGAAAGCCACCATTGGATGGCAAGACTAAATGTACACACAACATTATTATACTTTGGCAACAAATACAACATGATTTACATTCATAACTTCCCTAAATTATGTGAATGATCAGCTTTCTACGTGAATACACTACTAAATGCATAGATTTTAGTTATTTTAACAGCACAAAAGCAATAAGCATAGGTAGAATCTTAGACGAATGTGTTTTGATCACATTCCCACTTTTATTCTGTCTGAACTGTTTATGCCTGATTTTTCTTAGTTACAGTGTTAAGCTCTGCAGAATACCACAGAGTACCCTGTAAAATACACATGTGAATGTCCAAGACAACTGAAATAATTATTAAGTCTCTAAACAAGCCACCCAAGTTTTCTGAACTCAAAGCCAGAAAACACACCACCTCCTCATGGTATGATGAACAGATTGGTATACTATTCAATAGCTGCATGAGAACTTGGTTTGTACTACAGTTATGCCTAGGAAAGTATATGTATGTCATGAAAGGACGTCTTAGTATATCTTACTACACCTGTACATCTCAATAGCCTTCCTATCAGCCTCATCAAAGTCATCTTCAGCCTCTTTTAATTCTTCAAGACTCATTCTTTCATATGGTTTCACTAGAAACAAACAAATAAACAAAAAACACCAACAACCCACTAGTTTTGTTCTCTAAATTGCCTGTACATCTTAAATGCATGAAAGTTAGTACACAGACATGGAATTGACAAATGTAAGAGATACGCTGATTTCAGAAGCTGTTCAATGCCAGGCTAGGCGGGGTTTGGATTAACCTGATCTAGTCCATGCCCGGGGCAGGCAGGGTAGAATTAGATGATCCTTATGGTCCCTGCCAACCCAAATCATTCGATAACAATAACTAAAATGATGCAGTATGCAGTGGTATGTCATGCTAACATGTTTTTTTTTTATTATTATTTTAGTGTATTTAACTGTACTTTTCAATACCCTGATCAATGCTGCCTGTGAGAATTTGGCAGAAGTTGTGTACTGAAGACACAACTTTCTCTGCTCTGAAATAGTGAGCAGAACTCAGTAGAATCTGAAAACTGAATGAGCTGTAACTTGCCTTTCAGCTCAAGGGTAAAACTTGTCAGAAAGTGAGAATTACTACAGTACATTTAAGCAAGAGCCTTCGTTGCTCTACGCAAAAATGTTTGCCTGCAGGAAAGTAGTGGAAACCAATCCACTAGTCTGTAGTGCCACTTCCTACACCTTAACGCTTTCTATCCTTCAAATGGAATTATAGAAAGTCAAGGCTGGAAAAAATTGACTGGGTTGGATGAGATCCTGGGCTGCAACCCTGCTCACAGCAGGGGGTTTTGAACTGGATGGTTTTTGGTTGGTCCAACCTAAACCATTCCATGATTCTATGGAAGCTGCAGTAACAATTCTGTAGTACTTACAGGTACCTGCGAAGAAAGCAAAAAGACATTTTTTTCATGGCCTCTGTGAAAAATCAGTTTTTAGAATTCTGATTAAATGAACATTTGCTCAGAATTGGATATTTATAACTGATTCTGCTTTGAGGGAAAACAAGCTGGATTATATTCTTTCCATTCTTGTTTCCTTGTGGTCTGTGGTCTATGAACGTCTCTTAATTTTGATTGGAAGAGATAGCAGAGGATGGCCCTTGCAGCAGGGAAGATTCCCACCATGGAGATGAACCTCACACTACACAGATCTACATTCCAAATGTTGTTATTCTAATAGCATGTATTTTTAATTCAACTCACCTTCTGCTTCTTTTTGCAAGCATAAAACCATTTCTTCAGTTTCATCTTTTGGCTCTTCTTTTGGAGGAAGAATTCCAAACTTTCTTAATACATCATTCCATTCGGTATCTTCATTTGGGTCCTGTTTTGGTATTATGGAAGAAAACTAAATTGAAAAATCAGTCTTTTGATTGATTTTGACCAAGCACAGCCGTTTTTCACTTTGGCACATATTAAGGATGTAACAACTGGAAATCATTACTTAGAGTAACTGCAATACTTTAATGTACCATTCTCTACCATGCTTTTCCATTTGTCATTTTTCAGTTCTAAACAAAAGTCAGGAAGAAAATGGGAAAGAAAAAAACCCTCAAAATGTAGGCATAGACAAAGAAATCAGTATCCAAAACATCTGCTGAAGTTTTCTAGGAGACACGTGGAAACCTGCTTCAGAAACCCAGAACCACCAATGGCTTACTTAAATAAACAAATACTGCTAGATTTTTGTATTGGTATTTTTATGTTACTAGTGAGAATAAACTACAGACATTTTGTATAAACATACAAAAACACGACTAGAATGAAGGGGGGAAAAAAGGACTTTTTAAATGAATGATTATTGTTAATATGTCAACGTAACCTTATAGCGTATGACTGTTGTAGGTATTAAGCCTACATTTGTAGTAATTTAATTAAGCCATTAAGATAAAGGAACCACATCTATTTATAAGGCTGTATTTATTCCTAAATTATCACATTAAAAGAATCTTCATTTTAACTGGGTTGCAACACATAAGGACATCTTTCACAAGGACTGAAAATGCTAGGCAGATTTTAAAACAGGTTGTTAATTTCTGTAGTATTTTTTGCCTTGAAATACAGTCTGAAAACCTCCATGAAGAGACGCCTGACTGAATTTTTATATAACAGAAATATTTAATGGTATTAATAATAACAATACAGCATCAAATGAACAAACATTACATTACAAAAAGGTCACCTGAGGAAACATCCAAGATTTGCATTATATCATTACCATGCCTGCAAGCGATACGTTTGCCTTTCCAGCCAGCAGCTGCCTTGTTTTTATTCAACAAATTACAGAGCTTAGCATGAACACAATTCTAATGGTAACTTCTAATGGTACCGCAAAGCAAATGCTAAGATATACGTGCTCACAGGAATTTTGTAATGATAAAAAAAGTTCTTCTGCATCTCAGATGAAAAGAAATAGGAAAACCACTAAGGCAGTGTATAATCAATGGATATTAAGATGCTATAATCACAAAAAGAGCAAGAGAGTTAGGCAAAGTAGACTAAGATAATAAGAGAGAATAAATAGAAGGCTTACCTGCATGCTAGGCTCACCTAGAGAAAAAACACCAGAAGAGGGGATCTCCAAATGAGATCCTTCTCAACTGATAGCCAGCTCTTAAATAGGTCTAGGAGGTGTGGAGCCTGGCTCCACTCCTTCCGGCAGCACAGGTGAATTGCCTCCACCTGTGCTCCTCTGGCTGACTCATGGCTTGCCTCAGGTGATCAATCAGAGGTTCAGGCTGTGACTCAGTAGTTCCCAAACAGACAGTACAGAGCACCATGCTATATCTCCCTGGGAAGCACAGTGGGTCTGCAAGAAAGCCTTTACCTCCACCAGTTTCTTCTGGCATAGGTGAGGAATCGATGCTCTGCAGGGCTGGAGTGGGAAGGAGATGTCAGCAGCTCATGGCAGCTCCTGCACCAGTCCTGCATGGGCTCAGCAGGGCCACTGCTCCTTGCTGCTGCAGCACTCTGGCCTCACAAACATCTAGTGCTTAGTGCTGAGAGAAAGGGATTTTGTACTGGAACATTTTAACTGATTCCTTCTGCAACGCTCAGACATCCATGCTCTGAACTAGGAGCGCCAACTCCATTAAACAATAAGCAGTCATGTTATTTGGAGAAGTATTTTCTGCGGTGTTCTACCACTGAGAAGCTGATTTTATTGCTAAGTCTTAGAGGTACACTAGCAAACTTAATTCTTTGCTTATGTTTTCATACGTGAATAAAGTTAAAACAAGCAGTTTGCTCATTCTTTGAGCAAAGTAAGCTGAAAAGTAGTGAATGTAACCCATTAAGAAAAAAAAAAAAAAAAAAAGGAAAAAGAAAAGAGAAGCTCTGTGTATAAAGTAATGAATCAGATGATCATGGGTCTAGAAAAACACAAGGGAAGGTTTTGCTACAGTGTAATTCCCCAACGCTATAAAATATCCTTACAGTCAGTCTCACTGCAAGCTTTCAATCCTTCATCAAATACGAGTTTTGACTGCTGCACAGTGAGGGTACAAAAGATCCCACGTTGGGCAATGAGAGCCCCCCCTCCATGGGAACACAGCGCTCTGCCCGCCTCACAGCGCTCCCCCTCTCTGTCCCGCCCTGCCCGCCCGGCGGCTCCCCATCTCCCCCGCCTTCCCTCAGGCCCCCGCTCTCACTCTCACCTGCATGGCTCCTCACGGCGGCGGTTGGGGCAGGACCCGGTTCTAACGGCCCCGCCTCCATGTATCTCTATGGGAGGCAGCTGGTGCAGAGCGAGATTCGCGGTGCACCGGTAACGGCGCGGGGTTAGGCGGGGGGAGGCGAAGCGCGTGTGGAAAGGCTGAGCTCTGCCCTTCGGCTGCTCACCCATGCGGGCGAGCGGGAGGGGTACTGAGGTCTGCTCACTCTGTGTGTGACCAGCCGTTGTCAACAGCAGCCCTCGTCTGCACTGTTGCTATTTTATACAATCGTTTGAGTCGGAAGGGACCCAGAAAGGCCATTTAGCCCCTTCTGTAACGAACAGGGACACCTACAGCTCGGCCAGGCTGCTCAAAGCCCCATCCGGCCTGACTTTGGATGTCTTCAAGGACAGAGCGTCCACAGCATCTCTAGGCAACCTGTTCCAGTGCCTCACCACCCTGACTGTAAAAAACTGCTTCCTTATCTGCAATCTACATCTCCCCTCTTTTCGTTTGAAACCGTTTCCCTTTGCCATGTCACAGCAGCTGCTAATAAGAAGTCTTCTTATTTCCTTCTTTCTTACAGCTCCTCATTAGTTACTTCAAATATCCTCAAATATTTCTGCCAACCCCTGGTGAGAAAAGCTTGGAAGACGGAGAGGCTAACTTAATCTTTTGTATAAATTTCTTTAAAACTACACCAAAACCTGCTATGTTCTCAATAGACCTTAATTCTAGAAGAATGTAAGTAATGAAGTCTTCTGAATCAGAGCCGTACTGTATCACTGCTCTTAAAAGGTAAAAAAAAAATAATAACACCACAAAAGCTTTCATAGTGCTTTAGCTGAGTTAAAATCAAGAATTTTCTCCAAAACATACAATTCATTGCTAATGGAGCTTCTTTTTTTTTTTTTTTTTCTTTTTTTCTGCCAGTGAAACACTATTGAGACACCCTGAACGAAGTAAAGTATCACAAGAACTGGACTTAGTGCCAAAAAGGCATTTGAAAGCTTAACTTCAGTGTCTGTCTTTTCTGTAGGATTGAGCTTCCTCATACCAAGGTAATGAAAGAATGTGCATTTTCAGTAAATATGAGAGCAAAATAATAATTTGCAAATGTAACACTACATAAATTTGCATCATTATAAAAAAATGCCGTCTCAAATACAAAATAAAGTAAGCATTATAAAGACTACATGAGAAATTTGAAGAATATTCAGAAAAAAAAAAAATTATACTCTACGTTGCAAACATTCACATTAAAACAACTCTCTCCGTGCCTTTATTTGTACAGGCAAATAAATGTACATTGCAGTGTTGTTGGGGACAATATCTCTTGCATGCATACACTGAGGCTTTTTTGTGGTTCCATTAGACACAGTTATAAACATCATAACAGTAGGAAACGAATAATTTTAATATGCTTTTAATATAATCAAGGAAGTAAAGAAACATTTGAATTCTTCAGTGAATCTTATGTAAGAGCATTTACATTCTAGTGATTTTTAATTGTACATTAATAAGGAATTATCTCTGTGAGGAGAACCCTATGTCCATACTCAGCATTCCTGTATTGTAAGTTCTACTTCAGGAATCTGAAATCCTGAAAAATAAGAAAAAGTTTTAGGTACAGGTATGGTATAGAGCAAAATACTTAAAACACATCAGAAGTGTAAGATACATTAGAAAACAGAGCATCATAACATTAGCACGGGATTTTTTTTTTTCTGTCCAAAGAATTGAATGATTTTAAACTAAAATCTGAAGTCTACACTTAATTTCAATGTAAAGATAGATCTTAGTTCAGAACAAGAGCAGCAGGATTATGCCCACGCTGTGGCAGGTTGTTGAGTTGGTACTTCTTGACACACACACTTTTTATTTGTCATTGATAACTTTTTAAACTGTCTACAGATCTGGGATCTTTTCCATTTCTTGCTTCCAGAAACACTTTGCTCTCTCTTCTGGGAACTGAGTATCCATAGCTTCTACTCACTTTAAACAAAGATATGTGGATTTAGCATATCTCAAAGAAGACTGTCTGCAGAACTCTAATCGTAAATACTGTGGCATATTTGTATAAAAATAATTTCAATACAGGTGATGACGAAATCGTTAAATAAATACCTCCTTAGTGAAAATCCACTGATCTCTTCCCATTACGCGGCTGAAAGACAAACATCCAATAAACACTGTAGAAAACTGATTGGTTTCAGTAACAAAGTCCCACACATCCTGATACCACTAACCTTGTTTCAAGCCCTATGTAGCCGGAGACATCTGTAAGTCTCCATCACAGTGGTTATACACTCCTAAAAAAAATAATCTAAAGACTTGAGAAATTCTTATTTTGACATAAGATATCTTAACTTACTAGAAGTATCGCCAAGAAGTTTCAATCTGGTTCTGTTATCCTGATTACTTTACAAGCATATAGTCTGTGCTATACGTAAGTGAAGTCACTGGAAGTTGCATTTCTCATCTACCGCAAAGACGAACATTTCTAATGGAATCGCTTATGGCAGAAGACTCTTAACAGAAGAGTTTTCTCTGACACAGTAGTTTTCATTTTATTCCACTAATTTCTCTACCTTTTGTTTGGTAAACAGCCTAGAGAGTAAAAATAAAGGAACAAATAGTAGAACAAACCATACCCTGAAGAAAAAGTATCCTCTGCTTTGAATCCCTCCAGCTCCTTGAAGATCCTCCTTGAAAAAAAAAATAGTATTTTAGATGATACCTACTCTTGTGAATGAATCCCCTCAAAGATATTGTTTATGTACTTATAACAGACATTTCTTCAGTACTACTATACAGTCTTGCCCCTTAAAACATACTGTGTACATATTTCTGTATGCAGCTCATGCTCTCACGTAGAAATTGTAGAAAACACATGAATGAAGGCCAAAATCCACTCTAAGTTTTGACTCATTTTAGATTGTTTTAGAATTAGTCTTTGTTATTGACAGGTTTCATCACAAAAACACAACTGGTCCCATAGTCTTGGAGTCTCTATGCATGAAACAGTTTGTACCTCATAGAAGGACAACAATGGGGAAAAAAACACAGAATTGCTGAGGTTGGAAAAGACCTTCAAGATCATCAAGTCCTCAAAGCTTAAAAAAAAGTACTTGGGCCCAGCCAGGGACTGAGGTCCCAGACTGATCCCAGAGGTACATCCTGACAACCCCTCTCAGAATAATTCCCAAAGAAAAGACCAATACTTCTCATACTCTATCCTATTCATGTTGTACACATTGAGAAACAACTGCTACTAATCTGTACAGCAAGGAGCAAAGAAAAGACCAGTAAAGAAAATAGTGAGAACAGAGAATTAAGTATCCATCTGCTTTAATGAGACATTCATTAGAAAACATACTAAGCTTAATCACAGTATTTTCATTGTCTGTCTGCCTTGCAGAGGGAGGGACAGACCAACTCAGAAATGAAATATTTCAGATCTTGAGCTTAGCAGCACATAGGATTTAGATGGAATGTATTTACTGTATGCTCTCTTAGTGATTATAGTGTTTCTCAATTAAAAACTGAGCTTGTGTAATCTCCTGGGTTATGATCACAACCAGAGTAATCATAGAGAGAAATTGCTGCTTGCTCTATCCTAACACTGTAAGAATTGTGTGAAGCAGCATGGCTCCCATCACTTACAAACATGGCAATAGCTTCAAGGAAACTTTCAAAGGAAGTAGGTTTAAACTGTACATCATTTTTCAGTCTGTTAATTTTGACATCAGTTCATCAGCTGTGTCATTATGCTCAGTTTCTTAGCTGTACATATAACATCTGTGTGATTTTTATTTATATTGTCAACTTCCTTCTCTCATTACATGGTTTTGAGATACCTATCTCAGATCTATAAACCCTTAAATATTATCAGCTTTATTTTTTTTTAATAAAAATGCATCTGTAATGGAGTTCTGCAAGTTTTTGTTTGTTTGTTTGTTTGCTTTAATCTGTTCAGATACTTGGAGTGCCTTACATTTTACATGTTTGTTTTTCTACCTGTGTTATTTTTTCTTAGAAAATAATTGCTTTCTCTTTGTCCCCATGTTAGATTATGGAAAACGAAAAAATATATTGATGATTAATGAAGTTTCTGTGACAACCAGATCAGCAGTCTCCACAAGTCACAGACTAGGAAATGGAAAGACCCAGAAGATCTGAGCAATATTAGACAGGACTATTTCTCCATTTACAGGTCAGGGTGGATCAGAAACATTTAATAAAAGAATTTCCAAAACAACTCACTGTCTCTTAATGAAAGAAAGCTCTGTAAGCATAGATATCTGTTCCTCTTCTTACACAACGACAATAAAATGTACACAGTGGTGTGGTACTATGTCTGTGCAAAGCTTTCCTCATTGTAAAAACTAAGGAGTTTGCTGAATCCAGCTGGCACAGTTCCTTATCATCCCACTAATTTGTTATGTGCGATTCAAAAAGATGATACTCTAAGTGATTCAATATACAACAATGAATAGTTGGAAGAGGTATGCTCTTAAGCTTCTGTCTTAACAAATCATCCAAGCAATTGTTTAGAAAAAAAACAAAAACAAAAACAAAACACTGCCACAGGCTACGTGATTTTCTGAATGGTTCTTCAAAAAAAGAAAACCTCCTATACCTACAATTATATATTATATATTATATATAATATACCTCCTAAACCTACAATTTCATTGTAGCTCATCAACACCTCCACACTGTTGAACTTTTCAAGCTTTATCAAGTATCAAGATGAGAGACAGCATTTTACTAAGCAAAAAAAAATTGTCCAATACATTTTAATCACAAAGATGTTGGTTTTTTTTCCCTGTGTACTGCACATGTATCTGAAAAGACATAAAATCTCTACAGAGGGACATAACCTCCACAATGCACCATACAGACTCCACTGTGGACAATCAAATCTTGATAGGTCCACCTCTGTATTCCACTTTTGTATTATGTCAGGAGAAGACAATAAGCATGAACAGTGGAGAAAATAACCAATAGTCTGCAGTGAATCTAAGGGAAAAGCAACCTAAAGTTGATGTAAAACAGAAA